CTTTGAAAGGCTGGTCATGGCTCACATCAACACCATCGTCCCAGAAACCCTAGACCCACTCCAATTCGTATACCGCCCCAACAGATCCACAGATGATGTCATCTCTATTGCACTCCGCACTGCCCTTTCCCACCTGAACAAAATGAACTTTTACGTGAGAAGGCTGTTCATTGACTACAGCTCAGCGTTCAACACCATAGTGCCCTCAAAGTTCATCACTAAGGTAAGGACCCTCCTGGGACTAAACACCTCCCTCTGCAACTGGATCCTGGACTTCCTGACGGGCCGCCCCCTGGTGGTAAGGGTAGGCAACAACACATCTGCCACGCTGATCCTCAACATGGGGGCCCCTCAGGGGTGCATGCTTAGTCCCCTCCTGTGCTCCCTGTTCACCCACAACTGCGTGGCCAAGGACGACTCCAACACCATTATTAACTTTGCCGACAACACAACGGTGGTAGGCCTGACCACCAACAACGATGAGACAGCCAATAGGGAGGAGGTCAGAGACCTGGCAGTGTATGCCAGGACAACAACTTCTACCTCAACGTGATCAAAACAAAGGAGCTGATCATGGACTACAGGAAAAGGAGAGCAGAGCACGCCCCCATTCACATCAACGGGGCTGTAGTGGAGCAGGTCAAAAGCTTCAAGTTCCTTGGTGTCCACATCACCAACAAACTATCATGGTCCAAACACACCAAGACGTTTGTCGTGAAGAGGGCACGACAGCGACTCAGGAGACTGAAAAGATTTGGCATGGGTCCTCAGATCCTCAAAAAGTTAAACAGCTGCACCATTGAGAGCATCCTGACTTTTTGGCAGGGGGACACTATTTGACATGACAGACCCCAAGGGGTGCACGTTTTGGTTTTTCCCTAGCACTACACAGCTGATTCAAATAATCAAAGCTTGATGATTAGTTGATTATTTGAATCAGCTGTGTAGTGCTAGGGCAAAAAACAAAATGTGCATCCCTTGGGGTCCCAAGGACCTAGTTTGGGAAACACTGCCCTAGCAGGTTTAGCTGAAATGATGCCCCTGCGTGTGTTAGGGGTAGTATGGACATAAGCATGATAAGGGAGACATTTACATGTGCATTCTGTTGAACTAACTAAACTCATGCGCTGAAACACGTCAATATAAAGTTGTTTTTGACGAAAATAAAAATGTCAGTTTGTCACTTTCACAGGTTGGAGTAATAACATGTTAAACTACTTAAGACTGGCTATAATCTAGGTTGTGCCTTTATATTTCGAGAAAAGTAACAACTAATTAATCATTTGTCACTTCTCTCATTGACTTCTCAAACTCCAAACCCCGGCCTGGTCTGTTTGGATAGTAAGCGTTCCCGGAAGTCTCACGATGTTGCGCCTCTAGAATGTGTGTTACGTTAGGTTACATTGAATGTGACGCTTGGACTCGGAAACTGACAGGATGGATGTTGGTGGTCGTGACCGCTCAGTGGTCGTGAGACGTGACCACACTGTTTGTCTATGGTCGTGACAGAGGGAGCTGCGTTGACAAACATTAACGACAGAAGGAAATAGTTCAGCAGTTTTTCCTTTTTCTTTTTTCGACCTTTCCCACCATTAGGCATAAATGTCAGTCATCTTTTGAATGTCTGACGTAGGCTAATTAGCCAATCTGCTAGAAAAAATATATATTTCAAATGGACTCACGCATGCATATTTATCCATTTAGATGTTTGTTTTGTTCACTAGGCCTACTGATAATTGACTATTAATTTAATGTCGGCATATGTCTTTGTGATTTACCCCCCAAACCCTACTTTGAAATATGGGATCGAAAATGGTAGGCCTAAGGACACATAGGAGACATGTAGGCCTTTGAGCATATACCGCACCATACCCACGTTGAGTGTCTCGCCTCCCACTTTGACTTATGACCCTGCAGGTCGTTGGCGCACTGATACCGCCATATCTCTGCCGGCAAGGTGGTCCTATGAGCTTTATACCTAATTCTGCCAAGTTTCCCAAGGCATCCGGGATCCTTCAATCACTGCAATCCCTGCAAAATGAACAAAGCAAGATAAAGGCTTCTGATAATTTAGCTGATTTAGCCTTCTATTTTTTCTCTATAGATCTATATGTTTATTTCATTTAGACTATTTAGCTATAAGAATAGACTACACCATTGTAGAGTCAGCTAAATAATAAGGATAACCATAATTGGCGAGGTAGGCTACCCGGTGTAAGCTATGCTGTTTCAATTGATAAGGTTTTTCATGCAAACCTCTCGTGTGAATATTGAATATCTGGCCCAAGAGACAGTTGTTAGAGATAATTGATTGACAGTGTTTTGAGTGTTGTCAAATGCATTACCTTAGAGTTTGAACCAAATTACAGAGTATTCATTAATTATCATTGTTGCACAATATAATATTATCAGAAATACATTCAGAAGACCAATGCTATTAATTGTACATGTCGCATTCATTAATTCAAATTCATTAATGACTTTAGCATGCACTGTTTAGTTATTCTCCTTCATAAAAGGTTAAGATATTAGTCAAAACAAACACACGGCCTAATGGTATTTTTCTCAAGTCAACATCCTCACTGATATGTTTTTTTAAATACGCCCCATTGCTCTATAATTCATTTTGGACTAAGCCTTGGAGCATTTTACAAGGCACATGGGATGTTTTCCTTTCAAATTTCCCGCTTAGCCTATATTTCAGTGCATATCCATTCTCAATAGGCCTATAAGACAACATTTTTTCTTCCCATTTGCAAATTCCCTCGATAAAACGCCAAATAATAATGAATAATTGTATAAATAATGGGTTTAGGGGCCGCAACTGCGCGCCCTTATCTCTCGTCACCACATTGCACCAGTGTTCAGCTCGCTCCCCACACTAAGCGCCACACTGGACATGATGTGGAATTATATAAAACCTCACTTCCAGCTTCCACACAGTACTTCAGTGAATCTAAAACCTCAGACATGGACGACCCTCGACAAAATGGCTCCACACACACTCTATCAACAACACTCCGGCTATGGTAAGGACAACACACCCAAATAATCATTAGCAAGTCATATTTGTTGTTGGTGTGGATTTATGGATATGTTATCGGTAATGGAAATATAGAAAATTTGAAAATTGTTTGTCATTGTTCGTTCCTATTTCGGGTTGACAAATGCAGGTCCATTTGTTTCTCGGTCAAGGGAAATACACCAGTTAGCTTATCGATTTAGCATTCATTTTATCTACCAATATAATAAGCTTCGATATTTTCACTTATTTATTCGTTTAGCAAAATATCCTCAGTCAATTTCCACTATCCACATACTTTGGGAATGCTATAGGCTAATATTAATTTGTGGATTATAATTTCATTCTGATATAGGCTGCTGAGCAATAGCCTAAATACATTTGAATATGTATATATTCGTCATGTAGGCCCAGTCTAAAGATGTTATTATCCCCACATCTTTACAGGCTATTGTGAAACAGAAAATGACCACTCTGTTTCTGTAAAAATGTGTGAAGCCAAGGTCTACACAGTTTGGCTATGGAATGAAAAGGTTTGCGCCTTACATATTGTGCACTCTAAAACCTGATTCAATTAGGTTCAAACGTTCAAAACCATAGGTTAATAATTAACGATTGCCTAAAATAAACGACGCAAAAAACGTACTGTATACCCTATTCTCTTCTCGTTACCTTTTATGCGCACGAGCTATAACCAAAACAATATTGGTTGTGACAAAAACTACACTTATTCCGTTAGCAGCATGGGAAGAAATAACATTTTTGCAGCATGGAAGAAATAACTTTATTTTGAAACTAAGTTATGCTCAAGCAACAAAGTAAGAATCGAAAAACTAAAATACATTCAAATGAAAAAGACAATGAACGAAGAATTATGAGATCAATTGAAAAATAGGTGCTCAAGAGTGACAGAGGTTATCATTGCAACGTAATTAATATGAGTGTGGTATAGGCTGCTATATTATAACGATAATGATACAGTGAAAGACAAAGGCTTATTATATTGATGTCCACGTCATGTTTAGTTTAGTGTATTTTGTCTAAGTCTATTGTCTATAATAGACATTAAAAGGAAGCGTTATCTCTGCGTGGACATTTAGAAATATATATATATATATATTGTTTTAGACAATTGTCTAAAAACCAAAATAAAATATATATTTTAAAAAAATTATAAGTTTAACGGTGCGACGATTGTTGGGCAGATGCAACAATGTGGGGGAATGATTAGGGCCCCTCCCTGTTAAAACCTGTGCGTTATCAGAACTGTTATCCACCCTGCCAGTTAACAGCAGTTTATAAGGTCAGGGTCACGTGAACGTCGAGCACCAGTTAGAACAAAGCCAGGTAGCCTATGTTTATTTTTTATTTTTTATGTGCAGGCCAAATAGGCCAACAATTGTTTTAAAAACACATAATCAAAAACCAAGGCTTTAATGATATTCTCTAAAGTAGTAGCCATGTCATGTGATATGATAATTCCCTTGTGATGGACTGCAGGAGTGCAGTCAAAATAGTTAACTGTATTATAGCCTGTAATTGACAAGGTAATGCAACAGTGTGTTCATACAGTTAAGCACATTGATAGTATAGGCCTATGCACCCACCTCCTAGAGCAAATGAATGGATGCAGCTATCTGCCTGGCGAATTGGTTGATGAGTCGGCGCGCGCGGGATTGACAGTACGCCTATACGTTTACAGAGCTCTGGACACGCAGTGTCGCGAGCACAGGAGTCTGCATTTTGTATACAACTATAAACTATAGTTTATTAATTAGAAAAATGTTAGATTCATAATTACAAAGCATAAAAGCTATCTTGTTTTTGCAGGTGACATCAAGGATTAATATCGATGAGTGGGGTCGCTTCGATGTTCAGCTCAGTCAATCTCGGATAGGCCTACCATTAAGCCTTTGCGTTTTCCTAGGCTATTTGAGGCATTTCTACGCACGGTCGAATCGATCGAATAGCCGTTGAAATGATGGAAAAACTGAAACCAGAACTTGGCCATCTCAGTCCTATGGTCAAGGAGTGCAAGTCCCCACTGCACGACAGCCTGACTACTTCCATAGCAGGTCGTGTCAGTGGGGAGGGGGACGAGGCTGTTGGTGAGACACAGGAAAACACGACGGCAGCGTCGGAAGACTCAGCTGAGAGGAAGCGTGTCCCCAGGGAGCACTGCAACCCGACTATATTCATTAATGGCGTTGCCAAGGAAACGGCGTACCACAGCGAGCTAAAAAAGTTAGTGCCGGTTATCGAATTGGCCAGGGGAGGAGGGCCCGTGGATATAAAAGCTCGGGAGCAGACGGCAGACATTAACCACAAGGGACAGACCACGGAGCTGTGCAGACAGCCGATACCCCTGCCACTGGCTCCCCTGGACCCGTTGTTGAGCGAAACTCGAATGGTGCAGTTGAGCCCGCTCGCCTTTCCTCTCCCTGCACGAGCGATGCTGTACAGTAACTTTGCTCAACCGCTCGCCACCATGAACAGGTAAGGCAAACTAACCCTTTGGAAATGTATGTCCAAATGATGTGCGTGGTCTTGAGATGTTTATGCTGTGGGTCAGCACAATCACTGTTGGATATGTATTGGATTTATGTAGCCTTATCCCAAGTTTAGGCCTGAAATGTGCATCCCGATTTATTTATGTTTTATTATTATTCATGTTATTGTTATTATAGGCTATTAAATAATAATAATAATAATAATGCTAATAATAATAATGATGATTATAAAAGCTTTGCGTTTTCCATTTCTTACTTTGGCAAATGGAAATGTGTAGGCCTATATTAACTGTCATAGTTTAGTCCAACAAAATCACCAGTATAAAAGTCTATAGATATATATTTATGTGTGGTCTAATTCCACACTTCTACATCTTTCTCTAGTGGCTACGGTGGCGAGACTGAGCAGTATGCCATGTACCCCAGCCATCGGATCAAACGAGGACCTGGGCCTTATGAGATTGAAATCAAGGATGATAATGGTAAGAGTATTTTAGATTTTAATAATTATGTTTAGCCACACTTTGGTCTGGATATTGCATCAATCTGTCAGGGTGCAAAGGGGTAAAGGGAGCTTCGGACAATAGTCATTTTAAAGAGAAAAGCTGCATCAGAGAGACTAACCAATTGTAAAGTGCCAAGGCATTGCATCAAGTCTAACTGTCATACCATCAAACAGTGTGGTTTAACAAAGAGTGCTGACATCTGTGTTGGTGGTCTTTAGACAGAAGGAAAGGGCATTTAGGGAATGGGGCAACAGGGATGACAAACTCAGGTCCTGGAGGGCCGCAGTGCAGGCTTTTGTTCCAGCCTAGCTCTAACACATCTGATTCAACTATACACACTGCTGGTGTATGCAGACAGTGTATTATCAAACATATCAGAAAACCTATGTTATTTTATTATTATATTACCTATGTAACACCCTCTCCTCCTCTCCCTGTCAGGCTCGCAGCCCAAAATTGTGCGGCGGATCTTCACCAACAGCCGTGAGCGTTGGCGCCAGCAGAACGTGAACGGCGCCTTCGCTGACCTCCGCCAGCTCATCCCCACCCACCCGCCCGACAAGAAGCTCTCCAAGAACGAGATCCTCCGACTGGCCATGAAGTACATCAACTTCCTGGCCAAGCTACTGGACGACCAGGAAGGTGTGGTGGGAGGCGGCGACGGCAGCGGTGTTGAGGGGGCCTGGGCCCGCGAGGGCCGTGAGGAGAGCCTGGTCCGGGAGGAGCTCCTCCAGGGCATGCTGTCGTCAGGCAACTCGAGCTGCGGGAGTCTTCTGGGCGGGGACGGGAGTCCCGACAGCTACACCGAGGACCAGGACTCGTCTGTCGAGTCTCGAACGCCAACCTCCAGGGGTCTCCATCCTCACTCTGGACTCCATATGGACGAACGCAACCACAGATGACTCAGCGTTTTCCCTATGTGGAGAAGAAAATAGACATTGTGAGAAGCAGGAGGTTGGCGATTTGGAGCAAATTTCCACCTGGGTAGAGTGGATGGGGGCCAATAGGATGTTTCCAATGGTGATGCATTTGTGTTGTGTACAGATTTGCTCTTTCTCTTCTTCCTGTTTCCCTCAATGGCTCTTTCTGTTATTGGCCAATCCAGAGGAGGGTGTGTTCTCTGGTGGAACACAAGGCTTTGTCCCAGCTGCTGTTGTAAGCAGGTGATGAATTTGGGAGTCATGATAGAACAAACTATTGAAAAACAGTGAAGGTGTTTCGGAAAAAGGCATGAAATCGCAAAATGGTACCTTTTCTTGTCTAAGGTGAAAGTTTGTTTAGGTACGCTGCTTGACTCTTTAAACAAGAATGATAACTGTGTTCTTAAGTACTACAGACCACTAAATGTAAGTGATTTGTTTTAATCTTAGAGCCCTCTAAAGTTCTTTTGAGTTATTTTAGTACCTAAAATTTGGGGTTATCAAATAATTATGTTCAGACCTGAAGTCCAGAAATTGTTTTGTTGAAGATCACCTCATTAGTTGTTGGATGACACAGTTAATCCCCAAACACAAATAGTTATTCAGTGAGATAACTGATAATCGGTCAAGATAAAAAAAAGTGTGAGATCTCTGTGTTGCTGTCAATATTTATGTTAAGAGAAGAACAAAGTGTTTACTTGTTAATGTGATATTCACATAAACAACATGGTTGCAATATTTACCATACAAAATGTCATTGAGATCATACAGTGAGCGAAACAAGTATTTGATCCCCTGCTGATTTTGAACGTTTGCCCACTGACAAAGAAATGATCAGTCTATATTTTTAATGGTAGGTTTATTTGAACAGTGAGAGACAGAATAACAACAAAAAAATCCAGAAAAACGCATGTCAAAAATGTTATAAATTGATTTGCATTTTAATGAGGGAAATAAGTATTTGACCCCCTCTCAATCAGAAAGATTTCTGACTCCCAGGTGTCTTTTATACAGGTAATGAGCTGAGATTAGGAGCACACTCTTAAAGGGAGTGCTCCTAATCTCAGTTTGTTACCTGTATAAAAGACACCTGTCCACAGAAGCAATCAATCAATCAGATTCCAAACTCTTCACCATGGCCAAGACCAAAGAGCTCTCCAAGGATGTCAGGGACAAGATTGTAGACCTACACAAGGCTGGAATGGGCTACAAGACCATCGCCAAGCAGCTTGGTGAGAAGGTGACAACAGTTGGTGCGAATATTCGCAAATGGAAGAAACACAAAAGAACTGTCAATCTCCCTCGGCCTGGGGCTCAGCCAGAACTACACGGGAGGATCTTGTCAATGATCTCAAGGCAGCTGGGACCATAGTCACCAAGAAAACAATTGGTAACACACTACGCTGTGAAGGACTGAAATCCTGCAGCGCCCGCAAGGTCCCCCTGCTCAAGAAAGCACATATACAGGCCCGTCTGAAGTTTGCCAATGAACATCTGAATGATTCAGAGGAGAACTGGGTGAAAGTGTTGTGGTCAGATGAGACCAAAATCGAGCTCTTTGGAATCAACTCAACTCGCCGTGTTTGGAGGAGGAGGAATGCTGCCTTTGACCCCTAGAACACCATCCCCACCGTCAAACATGAAGGTGGAAACATTATGCTTTGGGGGTGTTTTTCTGCTAAGGGGACAGGACAACTTCACCGCATCAAAGGGACGATGGACGGGGCCATGTACCGTCAAATCTTGGGTGAGAACCTCTTTCCCTCAGCCAGGGCATTGAAAATGGGTCGTGGATGGGTATTCCAGCATGACAATGACCCAAAACACACAGCCAAGGCAACAAAGGAGTGGCTCAAGAAGAAGCACATTAAGGTCCTGGAGTGGCCTAGCCAGTCTCCAGACCTTAATCCCATAGAAAATCTGTGGAGGCAGCTGAAGGTTCGAGTTGCCAAATGTCAGCCTCGAAACCTTAATGACTTGGAGAAGATCTGCAAAGAGGAGTGGGACAAAATCCCTCCTGAGATATGTGCAAACCTGGTGGCCAACTACAAGACACATCTGACCTCTGTGATTGCCAACAAGGGTTTTGCCACCAAGTACTAAGTCATGTTTTGCAGAGGGGTCAAATACTTATTTCCCTCATTAAAATGCAAATCAATTTATAACATTTTTGACATGCATTTATCTGGATTTTGTTGTTGTTATTCTGTCTCTCACTGTTCAAATAAACCTACCATTAAAATTCTAGACGGATCATGTCTTTGTCAGTGGGCAAACGTACAAAATCAGCAGGGGATCAAATACTTTTTTCCCTCACTGTATGTACGACGCGCGCACACACACACACACACACACACACACACACACACACACACACACACACACACACACACACACACCTTTCAAAGTTAACTGAGAGCCAAAACAAAGGAGGAAAATCATTCCTGTCCAATAACAACAATAAAACAACATTATAATATCTCTGTATCAAAATATATTTAAAGACAGGTACAAACATTCCACTCTATGTGTACATAAAACAGACAATAGAACTTGTCATTTTTTAAACTGGTTCTTTCCTTGTGACCATGAGTTTATCATCTTTTTTCACATTCACTTCTTTCGTTTATCTTTTATTGCTAACATTAATAAAGTAAGTGTTTTACGACTGTATTTAACATTATGCACATGCTATTTCAGCAGACTACTGAGTAACCAGAATTGGTACCTTTTAATTCTACGATGTAGTAAATAAAAGGGTTATTAATTTTTGTGTGATATTTTGTAGGATAAAACCTTTGTTGTAAAGTGATTATAGAGCCATCTATAAATACATGCAATGTTATATCTCACAGAATTGTAAGAAACCACAAAATAAAAAATGGAGAAAATGAATTTGACAAACGTGTGCTGTTGTGCTAATCTTATATTCACATTTCTATGTAATATTTATTCCAATTCACGTTATATTTGTCCGTCATCTATTAGATAAGTGGGTCTATTTTACTTGAAACATTTCCGAAACATACAAGTACTAAAACCAACCAGGTGGACCCATAGAATTACATATAGAATCATAGTGAATTATAGGATATCTGTGGGTAGACCTCTCACAGGAAGATGAATAAGAGGTCTGTCTGCAATCTGCATGGGCAGTAGTTTGTAAACAAAGACATGGTGTAAACATTGTTTGGTGCATGGGTTTGATTCAATTCCAGTATATTTCAATGGCAGTAGTTTAATTTATGCCTACTCCAAACTGGAATCAAAATAGAGATACATGACATGGAAGGAATTGGTATGAGGATGGAATTGAATTGAGGGATTTTTTTTTAAAGTGACCCCAACCCCCAAAACGACCCATTAAAAATGCCAATCGAGTTTCAACCCATTTTTAGGGCAGTTCCCCACCTTTTGAAATTCCCTAAAGATGACCATGGACCATCATCATTAAATAATCCATCCACAGACAGACCCCACAATCAGGATAGATGCCTCTTCAGATGAGATGCAATGGGTCCAATGAAACGTTTGTGTTCCCACCATATGAATTGACCACTATTGTACTTATCCACTAATAAGATTGAGATAGCAATAGAGATAGAGTGGAGCTAGAAGGTATTTGAGGGGGCACTGGGGAGCAGTATGTCATGATTACAGCTCTATGATGAGTGGAGCGATGGAGAGGATGACTGATAAGAATCACTGCCAATGAAAAAGCCATCGGAGACGGAGAGGTTAGAGTACTGGTCCCATAGGGAATTAAGGGGTGTGTGTGAAATACTGGCACAACACCAGTTCCCACCTCGGTCTATGCTATCTATGTTCTCACAATGCGTTCATCTAGGGGCATCATTTAAATTTCAGGAGAACATGGGAAAAGAGCCTAATGGTCAGAAGCAGAGATATACTGTCTATTTACATATGGCTCTATATATGGCTCTGATTGTAAGTAAACTAGTATATCACACAAAATGTGAGCATGTGGGAAAATATTATGTGTGTATATGTGGATATATACGTTATGTGTGTATTTGTGGGTATACATTATGTGTGTATATGTGGGTATATATGAACCAAAATAATCTTTGTTAGTTTCTTCATTAAGGAGGACTGCATTGGCCTCATACTGTACATAAAGGACCCAGATTAAGACTAGTCCACGATTTAAAGGCTCTTTCAATAAATATTTTTTATTGTGATTCATTTTTAGTCCAGGACTAGGTTTAATCTATATGTCCAGGGAACCGGCCCTTAAGGAAGTAATGACACAAATACACAGTGACGGAGAGGTGCTACATCACCCCAGGATTTACACAGCAGCTGTGCACTTGTCTCACCCCCGCTATAATGACACAGGCAAACGCATAGACTAAACAAACACAGGTTTATATTTCAGAGGGCCTTTACATAAAATTAAAGAAAATGTGGATTACGTTGTGTAGCTACAGTGCATTCAGAAAGTATTCAGACCCCTTGACTTTTTCCACATTTTGTTACGTTACAGCCTTATTCTAAAATGTTCATTACTCCATAAATGTGTCATTACTCCATAATGACAAAGCAAAAACAGGTTTTTAGAAATGTTTGCAAATGTATCAATAAAAAACCCGGAAATATCACATTTACATAAGTATTCAGACCCTTTACTCTGTACTTTGTGAAGCACCTTTGGCAGTGATTAGAGCCTCAAGTCTTCTTGGGTATGACGCAACAAGCTTGGCACACCTGTATTTGGGGAGTTTCTCCCATTCTTCTCTGCAGATCCTCTCAAGCTCTGTCAGGTTGGATGGGGAGCGTCACTGCACAGCTATTTTCAGGTCTCTCCAGAGATGTTTGATCGGGTTCAAGTCCGGGCTCTGGCTGGGCAACTCAAGGACATTCAGAGACTTGTCCCGAAGCCACTCCTGCATTGTCTTGGCTGTGTGCTTAAGGTCATTGTCCTGTTGGAAGGTGAACCTTTTCCCCAGTCTGAGGTCCTG